TTTGATGGAAACATGCATGACTTCACCAAGCCCAGTATAATGTTGTGTAATTGAATACATAATAATTAAGAGAACGTATCTATAATAAGAATGATGATGCACAGCTCTCTCTTCCCCTGAGATAAAATTAAAAATGAATCATCATTACAAGTACAAGCATTTAAATAATTCAGATGCCTTACTATTTTGGTATAATTAAGCATCCTTACAATCACATTATATATCATTTTCAGGAACTATTTTGCATGCAGGAATCATTTGTCACAAGCATTCACAAATGTCTGCTAACCACCATGTATGACTCATATTGATAATGCCAAATGTCCCTGCTCTCCATGTCTCGTTCGCAGAGAATGTTGAGCCCATTTCTGGTAAAACAATATTATTTTATTGTACAGGAACATGGCTGTGCTAATTCCTCGAGCTGCAAACCTCACGGACCACAGCTTTGTCTGTAATTTTCTGGGAGCATATGTTCATAGCAACGGTACATAAAGCGGAACGGAAAACAGTAGTACAGAGAGCATTAGTCAGTTCAGTGATTGGTATACAAAGACAGGGGTTTTCCTCCAGCTTTCCCCTCTGCGCATAGAGACGCTGCCCCCGTCTGCCACTGCTTTGGCTACAATTACTTTTCATTCTTTTGGTGTATACATAGTGTTTAAAATTATTATATAGGACACAACATGGTATATTTCCAACAAAACTAGTCATGTGTTGTATTTATATTTCAGCTGGGGAATTACTTGGCTTCAGTAGTGCCCTTCTATATGGGTAGTGATACTGTGGCAAAACTAAATTATAGAAGAACAGTGTCTATATTGTTTCATAAAATAACACATGTGGCTTAAGAAAAAGCTAAGTTACAGTTGAATATACTATATCTATAATGTGAATAAGAGTGAAATGACTCCAGTGGCAGAAGATGTTTATGAAATGTCTGGTCTTGTTTTCAAGCTCATGAACTTATGGATTGTGATGAATTGTAAACATTGTGACCGCTCAATTGATAATTAATCAAAATGTTTTTGCCTCTAAACTTAAATAATTGTATAAAATATAATTTAGTGTCATTTTCAGTTAAATTCCTATGTTGTGAGTGTATGCATTTGGGGTATGAAGATCTTTGTACTGAAGGTCCATTTGTCTGTGGCTACTATAACATGTCTTCCTTTTGTCAAACTTACAACTTACTAGTATATATATTTAAGAAAAAAAAAAAAAAACACCTTCCACTTCAAAGGTTCACTGCGTAACCTTTCTAGTGCAGAGTGTGCTGTCTACTTGTCACCATAGATATGTTCTTGCTTTGCCAGGAATGTTCCAAAATATTAAACTAGCCCATCTGGCATGTATTTATCTATTTAGCATTTATTTTATTCCAGTTTATTTAAATGCACCAAAAATACAGTGCAATTGAGAGCCCCTACTGTGGCTGGGTTCTCATGGTCGGGAAGGGGACCATCTGCTCATCTGTATAGATAAGTTTAATGTCATGCTGTGGAATGTTTAGGCAAAGCAGTAACTTCTCCATGGACACACGCAGGTGGTGCACTCTCAACCAGAAAATGATGCAGTGTTAATTGAATACAGGCAGGTTTCACATAGTTTTTACAGGTTTATAGCCTCCACTGTTTAAATTTAACTTTTACAGATTTATCTTAATACATAATTACAGTTTTTGTAACTGGAATTTCAGCTCTATCTCAAGTTCTGCAGACATTTTCAGTGGCTCGACTAGACATTTAATGATATTCAAGTTCAAATATACTTTATAGTTACTTCACACACCCAAGTAGTCCTTAGCCTCTTAAACGTCAGGCCAGATTACTACAGTTTGTGCAGCTTGGTAGTTTGTTGCTGTTTCGGTGACCCACTAGACAGGAAATCATTCTTGGACAAGGGCACAGCAAACAGCACTTTATTTTTGACTGTTCCCACTTGGGTCTCCTTCTTTGCTAGTTTCCTTCACGTCTTCACCACTGCGTCCAGAGGCCATGGGTGCCGCAGAGGTCAGTCCTACATCAACTAACCTTTTTTATACAGTGCAGCCGAGTCGTATAGTGTTGTGGGCATAAATCTCCCCTGCTGTGTCATGTGAATTTGTCTGGTGGTACACTTGCCTCAGGATCTAAACACAGATTGTAATTTTAGTGGCCAGCCGCGACATCTTGAGTTTTCTTTCTGCGTCTCCGATGGTCAAAGATATGATGGACGTTACACAGAAGGCAAGTGGCCAAAGCAATGCGGTCAAAACAAGTGAAGGCCAAGTCAGCGGGCGTCAATCTTGTTTTTCGGATTGAGATATTTTGCTAACCTTTTCTATTGTAAATCAACTATACCTATAGTTAGAATATCAACACAGCGGAGGATAGTGGAGCAGACACTTGCCTCTAAAGTCCATTAGACATCTGGTTTAATATTCCCCATTCTTCTTTCCTGGATGTTTCCAAGTTCATTGAGGTTTTTCTGGTCACTCCAATTTTCCACTGGCAGCTCGCAAGGCAATCCCAGGGTGGTTCCTCCTGGAGGGCTGTCAGGACTCTGGGGCCAGCCTCTTAAGGGCTCACTGCTCTAGAGATGGGTGCGTTTTCTGCTCCACATTTCATCAATCACACGCTCGGGCCTTCTCCTCCTGTGGTCGTGACCATACCATTATGTTACACAAGCCAACACAAAAGAACATTCAAGTTGTGGAGGGGCCATGGTTTTTAATGTTATTTTCTTGTTAAAATGGAAGACTTAAACTTACTTACTTAAGCTGATGTTGAATGCTGATTATGTTTTTTATTATAATGGAAATAAACTCTTAGGTTTGACTTGAGATGTTGTAATTATTGTTAGATGTAGATGTAGATTGTTGTGCTTGAGTCACACAAGAGTCTGAACCACCTCACCACTTCTCTATTATCATCCTCATCGCGAGTAGCTCAGTGGGCCCAGACCGCTCCAGCACAAGAGCGGTGCAGGGACCCACCCTTTCTCCTGTTTTTACCATTACAGTGTTTGTGAGCATGTGCAAATGTGTTTTGACCAGCGGACTTATGTGGATGCGTGTCAGGGTGGAGGGAAGTGTGAGTGCGTATTTTTATGAAGCAGTGGCCGCTGCAGGGCCATGGATGCATGGTAACGCTTGTGTGCGTGAGGGGGTGGGGGGCAGTAGTATGTTACCACACGTTGGTGGGGCAGACCAGAGAAACAAGTGGTTGTGATTCAGGCGAGCTATGGTGCAGCTCTGCAGGCACAGCACTGCCAGCATCGGAAATGAACAGTGGCTTTGGGTGAAAACAAGTCAGAGTTCAAAAACAGCCCAGAGATTGGAGCGAGGTGCAAGAGGAGCTTCTGCAGGAGCAGAGGAAATGAAAGTGACATGGAGCAGATGGAGCAGTTTTTAGCTTACAGTGAGCTAATGCTCACTTTGTCCACAGTGGGGAAGATAAACACATTTTATTATCTTGCTCCATGCAGAGTGTGGCCATGACCAGGCCTGACTCCAGCTCACACCAGCAGCCCCGCTCTATCTGACCACACTGGCCATAAAGGCTGCAAAATAAGCAGCAATTTGACTTAAGTTACTTTTAAAATGGTTATGGGTTTATTTGGTCAAGATTTATACAAACCATTCAGTATTATTCTGCTTCAAGTCTGTTTCATACAGAGAAACAATAGTACAGAATAGATTCAGAAAATGTTTTTATTATAACATACTTTGGGCTAAGGTCAGGCTCCTCTTTGTATATTGTGTGAGTGCATGATTTAACAACTATTCACAAGATTCTTTCAAAATTTATCAAGTGTTTATTCAGATTTTTGTGCGTAGATAACACTAAAACATAGCTTCACACTTGAATCCTGTGTGGTCAGTCATAAAATGTATGGAAATATTTCAGACTACAGATTGTTGCCAAACTGATTAAAATATTCCTTCTGCTAGAAGCTATAAATCACAAAGAACTTTATAACCCTCAGAAGTTCAGTAAAAATGTATTTTACCTCGAGATTTTAAAAAAGTGCATGTGAGTACATTACACAACATACATCATAAGACTTGCAAAACATTCCTTTCCAGCGGCTGAAGGCCCCTGAAACACTTTGTGGTTAGTTTGGTTATGCTGGCCCCTTCACATTACTGCCAGTCGAGGGGAGATGGGAGCAGCAGTAGCCTGCAGCGGGTTTTAGGGAGGGCAGAGGCCTTTTAAGGCACAGTCCGTTGTACCATTAGGAAAGAAGAGTCACAAAGGTATTGAGCAACACCATTAGATAATACTGGGGGTATTATTATTAACCATTAAACACTGTTTCAGTTATGGAAAGTCAGAAAATATTATTTAATATTTTTATATAATATTTCTTTTCCTTTGTTTTCTATGATTAGGGGTTTGTGGAGAGCAAAGACTAAACAGTGTACAGAACCTAATGTTGCACATTTGGTGCATCTGTGATGTGTATGTGTAGTTTATAAGGGACAGACCTGCAGACCCTGCTGCTCTCACTGTGGGCAGCAACACAAGGTGCTCCTGTGTAGGAATTCAGCACTTTGGACAGCACCTATAGGCCAGTGCTCCTTCAGCTCAAGCTCCCACACTCTCACAGGCCTGTCATGTGACCATATCTTTCTAAAGGTGCTGGTGAAAGCTAGGACAAGCACTAGTCACTTCTAGATAAGATAAGCATTACGCTGGATCCACAGTGCCATGTGTTTGTTGTTCAAAACATGAGCATGAGATGCAAAGAAAACAAAGTCATAGCATTACTAGTGTGTAAGAAAATTATCTAGATTAAATGCAATTTTGTGTTACATACATACAGATTATGTTTTCATGCTAGAATGTTCAGATTATTGTTGTTGTTACCACACATTTTGAGTGGGATGTGGTTTTACTATATTTATAACATAAAATTGGTATATATTTTTTCTATACTAATTCTATGGTAATTCTAGTCTAAATGCTCACTGCATACATATCAACCTTTCTTCACGTGCCTTGTTCTTTGTGCAGGCAGTCGGGAAGCGGCCTTCACCTATGCCATCACTGCAGCAGGAGTGGCCCATGCCATCACAGCGGCCTGCAGCCAGGGCAAACTCAACCAGTGCGGATGTGACCGGGAGAAACAGGGCTACTACAACCAGGAGGAGGGCTGGAAGTGGGGGGGCTGTTCAGCTGACATCAAGTACGGCATTGAGTTCTCCCGCCGCTTTGTGGATGCCAGAGAGATTAAAAAGACTCCACGTCGCCTCATGAACCTGCACAACAATGAAGCTGGCAGAAAGGTGAACATGCTATACTTACTTTTCATTTGAGAAAAGCAACTACAAAATATTGTTAATTGTGGCCAAAAGTCCTTATAAATGCCTGATCCAGAAGCTAGACAAGTATGGGCTCAGCTAGTACTTGGTGGGGAGACTCTAGGTGCAAATTTTCATCCAAACACCTTGCCTAGTATGATTGTGGTGTGAGCGAGTGATTGGTAGCACAGATGCTCACTTCTTTCAGTACCCCGGTGTAGATGTGGCTGCATTAGTAACTTACCACAACCGAGTATGAAATGAATGAAGCACAACATTGTAAGGTAGCTTTGAGCATCTGGAAAAGCACAAGAATTTGGAATACCATACCTCACAACAAGACAGTCCCGGGTTTAGGCTGGGTTTCCTTCAGATGATTCCAATTTCTCCAATCAACCCAAAACATGCACAATAAAATCCTCCAGCTAAGTACTCCAACCGAAATACAGATCAAGATCTGTAAATGGGTCCCCGGATGTGGCTTCTGGCAGGTTGCTCAACAGTGATAGGGAAGGACGGGTTCAATACAGGGAAACTCAAGTGTACCTTAACCCTCTTAACTTCTACAAAATGTTGAAAGACTATTAGGCTAGATAATTCATATTTCAAGTGGATTGAGAAATGAGACAAAACATTTAGTTTGGTCTTAATAATGCCAATCAAATTGCCAGTGAGAATACAGAATAGTTTGATGGAAAATACCCTCAGCCTCTTACCACAATAATGAAGAGGATATTATTGCTGTAGTGGCTCTGCCAGCGAGCTATGTCTGTGGAGCGTGTGAAAGCTGGCAGACAATGCCAGTGTTAACACAGCAGACTGATGGTGAGTGCCAGCTCTGGGACCTGGCACCTCTCGTTTTGACTGAGACTAACAAAAGTCTAACAAAGAATACTTCCTTATGTCTACTCTCAACATAAAGTAATGATATATACAGTAATAATATGATACAGGAAACACTAAGCATCTCTGAAATAAGTAAAATACTGAACTCAAAAAGTCTTGGTTGACAGTAATTGTTATGAGCCAAACATGTGAGGGTTATTGGAAGGTATGTTGTAAACATCAACTATTATGGGTCTTGGATGCACCCTTGACTAGGTCTGGGCAATATGACAAAAAAAAAAAAAAAAAGAATCAATTAATTTTATTTTGTCTGATTAGAAATAAATAAAATAGTTTTTCAGTATTACTTTTATTAACATAAATCAGACTGACCTTTAATCAGTGCCAGTGTCATATTTCTTCCTCCATAATCTGAGCTTTGCTCCAAACCACATTTTACAGACAGAAGATTGGCTATTAACCTTTTGATCAAAATCACATACCACTGGACAATGGTCAATTAGTCAAAAAATGCTAAAGATACTGCACAGAGAAATTTCACACAACTTCCTTGCTGAAAGGCAGCAGCACTTACTATTCTGATCATGTGCACAAAACCGTATAGTAACAATTACATCAAAGGCCTTACATGTTGCTTAGATGATCATATTTTACTAATTAACAGCAGATGAGAGGCTTTGACGGACACCATTTTACTAAATGTTTCCATACATCTATCAGCCTGCTGATGCCAGACAGTGTGGTTTGCGCTACATATACTTTTGGAAATCCTCAACTCTAAAACAACATAACCCAGGTCTTTATAAAGATCTGGAAGCTCATGCTTTTTCAATCAAACCTATTTGAATCCACAGAACGCATAGACAAAACAGACAGTAATATTGGACAACTTTGATTGTTCCTGTGTACATTTAACATGTCTGATGGAAAGGATGATATGTGTCTGTGACCAGGCACAATGCCAGGAAAAACTGCACTGGAAACTGCCAACTGCGCTTACAACTTACACTCTGATGATCCCCAAGCTCGGCCAAGTTTGGGCTCCTAATTGGGTTTAGAGTCAAGTCCAGACTCGCACTGTGTGTTAATGTTTGCCATTTGGGTCGCAAAATTTGTACTAGTTTATCAACAGCTATTCATAAATGTATTTTAACAATGTTTCTTTTAAATTTGGATGTGTAGTTACAACTTGTAGTATGATTTTTTTTTTTTGTTTGTTTCTGTACAACCACTGTAACAGTTTATACATATAGCAGGATGTTAACACAGCATTAACCTTAAGAAAATATAATATATAATATATATTAATGTAGTGTGTACTGTGTAATCCCTAAGGTGTCCAGGTAGGATCCATAGCAAAAGGAAAATAAAAAATCACTATATTATCATGATCAAAAGTATTTGATCATAATAATATACTGTAATACTTACACAATGATATTTTCTCACTCTTTGTAATTACTGTTGATGAAGTAATTTTTCTTGCTCTTTTTCTCAACAGGTGTTAGAGGAGAGGATGAAGTTGGAGTGCAAGTGTCATGGAGTCTCTGGTTCCTGCACAACCAAGACTTGTTGGACTACACTTCCCAAGTTTCGAGAAATTGGCTACCTTCTTAAGGAGAAATACAACCATGCGGTACATGTGGAGGTGGTGCGGGCAAGCAGACTACGACAGCCCACTCACCTCAAAGTCAAGCAGACTCAGGGCTACCGCAAGCCCATGGAGACAGACCTCGTTTACATCGAGAGGTCGCCCAACTACTGTGAGGCGGATACAGCCACAGGGAGTGTGGGCACCCAGGGGCGACTGTGTAACCGCACATCACCACACACGGACGGCTGCGACCTCATGTGCTGTGGTCGAGGCTACAACACGCACCAGTATACTAAAGTGTGGCAGTGCAACTGTAAGTTTCAATGGTGCTGCTTCGTCAAGTGCAACACATGCAGTGAGAGGACCGAGGTGTTCACCTGCAAATGATAAATAACAAGGAACTTATCATCAGGACGTGTTCTGACCAGGACTAGCTGAATGACGAAGACACCCCTGTACGGTGTCTTGGACCTGTGAGAGACATTGGAATAAAACACTAAAGCTCTTCAAGGCATTGATTTGCACACCAGTCTATGGAATGCTTTTCAGAGAGTCTATGTTTAATATTGGTTGGTCTCCCATAAAGTTTCCCAAATGTGGGAACAGTCTTCTCTGACATGTGAATGCGGTTATACATCCAAGAACGTTTCTTGAGTAATGGTACATTGAGACAATAGGAGAGAAACATTAACCCTTAATGTTATTAAAAGAAGCTGTGGACTTTTGTGGCCAGAGCTACATGTGGACCATGCCTTTTGAGTAAATGGACACAAGTATGATGGAGGTGTTTAGAAGTGAAGAACTGATGTAAGTATTGTGCATTGGGGGTGCACCAAACGCTTAGGAGGACTGTATCAAACCCCCTGCTGCCAACTGGAATATGTTTTGTTAGTTTTCCAGTCACACTGGAACTGTCTGTTCTGAACACTGAAATAAATGTTTTATTTATGTTATAGTATCTTAAAACTAAGCACTAACGGGTAGAGATGTCTTTTTGTACTAAGTCAAAGAAAAAAACTATAGAAACTATGACTGAAATGTATGTATATTAGACTGTCCCTTCATCTCTAAGCTGGACACTTCTTTGCTGCTGGTGTCATTACATTTCATTTCAAACTTATGTGCTTTTGCCAGTGAATAGTAAAATATACAGTAAACCAACAGAATAGTGACAGTAACATGTAGCTATGTTGTTGAGTGCTGCACTGATTTTCTATTCAGATACAATTGAAAATACAATAAACTCATCTCATCTGACTATGTTTAGCAGTTTAAATGTGATTCTGGTCATTACCATTATTTTATTCTAGTGCCTCTTACAATGAGAGATGAAAAAAAGGAACTTCATCAAGGTGCAAGATGGAAGACAAGAGGATCTAAAAAGTGATCATAATGAAGCTGATGCAGTACTTAATATAAATAAGATTGTGCAGACAGTCTGCCATACCATTTATTTTTGATCACCTTATGTTAACCAAAATCCCAAAAGTGTATTAAATACTATTTATGTGAATGGCTCACATCTGGACAGTGTGATAGTGTCACAGACAGTCAGACTGATTTGATCTCAGATGCTGCTTTATTTCTCTGGGTGTGTTCTGTTGTTCTTACATAAGATGTCTGCTCATTCTACATGTTCAGTGTCTAAGATTTATTGAATCACTTCACATTTTGGAGATAATCCAGCACTGTCCCAGTATATAGTGGCATGCGGCAAAGGTCTCAAACAATCTGGCAGTACGCTGCCTTGGACAATATTCTGTACACAGCAGATGCTGGTAATAAGTTGTGGGGTATGATCTGACTGTGGAACGCTATGAAGAAAAGTGCATTATGTCTTAGGTTAGAGGGAAGGAGTGTTTTCTGACATTTAATATTACTTTTCATCTTTGATCAAAATGTGGTTCTTGTTTTAGCTTTGACACATTTAGACTGGTCCCCTAATGTACAATTTTGATTAGAGGCAACATTGTGCGAAAAGTGTTGGTAGCAGTAGTTTTGTGCATAAAGTAAACACTTTGTTCTTTCACACAAAAAATGTTTATGTGTGAGTAATGCCTTTAACCAGACTACACTTAATTAAAAACTCTGTAGCTTCCTTGTTACTGGCAGGCGGGACATGAGATGGGAAGAGCCCTTATGCAAATGAGGCACATAGGGTGAATGAGTGAAGAGGAAGTGTCTCAGTGCGCCTCTTGTCCTGGACACACAAACAAGAGCACACAGCTTTTGTCAAGCTGTTTTTAAGATGGACGCCGTGGCTCCATTTAACAACATGTGCATGTGTATCCGGAAATTGAGAGGAGAAAGAGTGCTTATTAAGTAAAGAGCTAATTGATAGGACCACAGAGAAAGTGAGTGGAAAGAGCGGGACACACAGACAGAATGCTAAACAGTTGGACTAATTAGCAAATGTTGAATCTTTTACTCATTATATGTAACTGCTAATTTAGGTTTATGGTTTTCCTAAGTCTTCAGTGCAATGAAGTCCCTGATTTAGTGTGTATGCGAGAAGCATTGTGAACAGGCAGAGCAGAAGTAAGATGTGTTTTGTTAGTCATCTAAAGCTTTGGGGACCGGAACAAGCTCCCCAAGCGGTGGACTGACATTGACAAACTATTTTGTATGCATAATATAGGGGCAAATACATTGTTCTATGCCATTATTTTTTTCCTCACAGAACTATCATCAAACCCTGATGAAGAATTTTTCTTTGTAGGTTTAATGTTGGGCTGATCTGAGATTAGAAAACTGTCTATTTAGTATTGTGCTGCATATTTGGGCACCACCTACTTTATTTTTTATAACAACATCATCAATGAAAAACACGTCCTGGTGCCTGTGCATATATAATGCTACTGTAGCCAGAGTAAAGTTTAAAGGAAGATATAAACAACAGCTGCTAGCTAGCTTTTAGCAAAACATAAGTTCATTGACAAAATGGACTTGAAAAACATGGGGGAGCACTTCTGTGAAAATCAGATGTTTATGTCATGAGTTGGTGAAGCAAAGCATTGAAAAGGAGACCATAAGACCAAACACAGGTGCAGGCATCTTTTTCACAAGGAAATGTCAATATAACATCTAAAAGTCAAAAGACTGCCTGAACTTTTAATGGGAGGCTTTAGTCTCAAACCTTAAACCAAGTCTAATTTATACAGGGTGACTTGGGAAACTCTGACAACAATAACAGAGAACCAGACTGTATATTCACTTTATGTAAATGTTCAAATCTGATCTGGAGTTCAGAGAGAAGTCAGGGTCTGCTGTGGGAAACCAATGAAGCTCTTCCTATCAGTCACAGGAATTTTCATTCACACCAAAGAAAGAAACCCTTACACGAGGGAAGACCAAGAATGTGCGTGTAAGTATTGTTTGGTGATTTCCATCAGACTAAAAGATTGGCCTTGTAAAATGGGCCTAAAACCGAGTGATCCCTCTCTGTGACTTCCTCCTTTCTTCAAAAACACTTTTTACAATGTGCTATAAAGAGAAAAGTGTGGTAGTTCAATGGAGCAATGCCAAAATCACATACAAAGAACAATACTTCAGATTAAAATGAACCAAAAAGCTTTAAGTGTATATAATAAAAGGAGTGTAATGCTTTACGAGAGATTGGTAAACAAAAAACATATGAGCCAAACAAATGGCACCCAATTTCAAAAACAAAGAGTCAGGCGTCTAAAAGTGATACTTGAGATGATCCAGATCCTCAATCAGCGAACAAATACTCTGTCTCCGAGGCTGTGCCTGCCTATTACAGGCCTGAGAAAGAAATATTGTCCCACGGGTGATAGAGTATTTCAGGACAATCCCGTAAGTCCTGTTTGTTATTCCTGGACTTGAGTTCGTGGCCAAATGTGTTATATAAAAGCAAGTGGCCTATTACTGACAACATACAAATGATGTATTTTCTCACCATTAGCAAAAAAAAAGTGTGCTCAAAAGACTCAGTACAAATGAAAAATTATAAGCCAATGTTGACAAATGCACATAATTTTGTAAAAGAACATGTATTTCACAATATACAATTTCAAAGCCTGCTTTAACACATCCTGCAGCAATTACCAATCTAAAGCTTTCTTCTCTTTTGCCTTGCTGGATCACTCGGACTGGTGTTTTTGTGTGTTCTTTAACTTTGTTTTGACTTCTTGTCTTCATGAAAGACCGTCATTTGGAGGTTTCTCTTCATCTGTTTGATATTAGTGGTGAGGAACACATGGCCATTCAAAGGCAGAGCCCAGTGTGACATCATCGACCACAGAGCAAAGAGGGGATCATCGGGACCCCAGCCGTAGGACTGCAGTACCTGACTGTGGAGAGGAGAAGGAGTGGGGATCAGACTCTCTGCATCAACACTATATATAATTAGTAAGAGCTGGATAGACTATAGCGTTTAGCTATGGAAATCCACTAGAAAATAAATGCATTTGAATAATGGGGAGAGCTTGTCAATATTTGAAAGAAAACAGAAGACAGACTTACCTAAACATTCACTGTAAAGACCCATAATTTTGTTTGCAGGCATGACCAGCAGGACTGTATGTGGATTTAGATATTGGCAGAAAGACTTCAGCCATGTTTGCATGAGATTATTTTACCTAAAGTTCTTGTTTTTGTGAATTCTTACGGATATTATTTCGGAAATGGCAAACTTATAAATGAGAATGAAATATGAGCAGGTACCTTTGACTTAATTTGTAATGCTAGTGCTCCTTCTATTTAAGGTTTGTTTTAGTGTTATGTATGTGAGATGATATTATAGACATATATATTGACCTTCACGATTGGGTATAAATGAAGTAAGACATGAAATGGATAAGTGACTCCTTTACTGTTCAACTTTTCACTTAGTGCTTATTCTGCATCTACATTCAGAACAGTGTATCTCTTATATCACTTAAAGATATATCTTACAGATGTGTTAAGTAACCTCTGATTTACTGATAAGCGTAAATGTTCTGACTATGTATACAGTATATATTTAAGCAGACAAGGCATTAGCCTGGGGACCACTGAGGTCTAATTTGGCTTGAACACCTGTTTATGTTGGACTGGGGCAAGGAGTCCTCCATTATAAAATGGAGCTGAGGTTAATGCTTGTGTGGTGACGCCCTCGGGCCTCACAGCTCCAGTCTAGTCTGAGGGATGAGATCTTTCTAAATCCAGACATAGCGTGGTCTTCTTACATGCACATCACTCTAGATACTTTGTCTGTTACACCTCAGCCTCTGCATTCCATTTTACATGAACAATATCACCATCATCAAGTGGTTCCCAAATTCAAATGCAACTGGTAAATAAACATGTAGAGTTCAAATTATTGAAGTGTGCTGAGATTTGAGCAATGACAGAAGCCCCAGTGTACTGAGGGCAGCCATCACTCGATTTCTGTCAAGACAAAACAAAACAAACAAAAACAAAGAAAATAAAATAGGAGTCATTTTTTAATTTAGAATTCAGTGCCAATTCAGATTTCAGTTATGCTAATAGATTCCTTGTTTTGTTGCACTGCTGTTTAATCTTCTCTTTATATTTTTTTACTATGTTTATACTCCTGTCCTTGTTTCCATGGATAACCCAGACTTAAGTTAGGCTACTTTTAGGCGGGAAAAAATTATTTATAGAAAGCAAATTATTTTAAGTATTTTTTAAGTATTGTGAAAAGAGAGAGAAACCCTGGTCAGGCACATCCTTATGAGAAGTAGGTTTCTTTGAGCACAGCCCACACGCGTTTTGTGCTGTCTACCATCCAGTGGTATAGGTCCGGCCACGAGTTCTCCTTGAGGTTATTTTTCTCCTCACGTTTTGTTTGGATAAAGTGAGGTTGGGGTTCCAAAAGCAGACTCCACCTATAGGCAGGACAACGAGACCCTTAAGAGCTCTTCTTTTCTTAGCACTTCACCCCTCTCCCCCGCAACACCAACAACTGGTAAATGGTCTGGAAAGAGAAAATTAGCATGTTCACATGGACACTTCTTCTAATACAGTTTGCCAGGTCACTTCACTGCTGCTGAGGGGAATAGAAGCAATATGCTAAGCTTTTTATCTAAACCTGAATTGCCTTGTCATAACCTCACTTTTCAAAATATGCTATGACATAGATGGGTTATTGTCTTAAAACAAAAAGTTTTATGATTTTGTCAACTATGACCTGACTTGACCAGAATGCACAAGAGGCAAGAAATTTCTTTACAAGATTAATAGCGTGGTTCAAAATCAAACAGAAACAACAGTTGAA